TCCCACTCAAGTAATCTCTACTCTTTTTGTTCAGACCATCAGTACAATACTTTTTTTTTTTTTTTTTTTTTGTGAGGAAGATTGGCCCTGAGCTAACATCTGTTGCCAATCTTCCTCTTTGTGCTTGAGGAGGATTGTAGCTGAGCCAACATCTGTGCCAGTCTTCCTCTGTTTTATGTGGGATGAAGCCACAGTGTGGCTTGATGAGTGGTGACAGGTCCATGCCTGGGATCCGAACCTGCAAACCCTGGGTGGCCAAAGCAGAGCATGCAAACTTAACCACTACACCATCCAGCCAGCCCCAGTTCAGTACTCTTTCTAGTGCATTTGACTAAATCATGTGTTTATCTGTTTCCTATGTAGACTATGTTTTTGTTTAAAATATAGCATTGTGGCTTTGTGTAGCCAGCACTTAGTACATTCATGTTAAATAAATTGATGGGGGCTGAAGTCTAAAGGGAGATATTAAGAAAATACATGCAAGAGGAAGGCGCATTGGTGAAATCCAGTTAACATCCATAGTGAGTTTGTAGGCCACAAGTGATCACAAGCTGTCACTGTTAGGAGCCCGGGAAAAATAAAAAGAACTGGAATGAAGACATTGGTTTTCTTCCTGAAGTGATCACCTGCTGATTGCACCATCCTGGAAAAATGAGTAAAAAAATCAATTTTGAGTTAATGTGTTGAGAGTAGGCCTGGAGAACAATGCTCATTTCTGTCACTAAGGCTGATTGAGAGTGTGATCAGTACTCGGGCAGAAAATCACTCCGAATTACCTGAAAATTTATTATTATCCAAGCCCCAAATAAGGCCTAGTTTAATGCAATAGGAAGTACATTTCAAATAGATTCATTTATCTATCCATCTGCCTCATTCTAATTTACAATTTGCAATTATAAGCATTTCATTAATCAGTTAACAAGGCATATTTATAAGGCACATTAATTTATAGGTTACAACAGTAAACTGACGTATTTTAAAGACAACCTTGGTATTTTAGCAAGGGAAAGCTAATGCTGTTTATCTCAGTGCTTGGTTTTATATTAAAGTGTTGGATTGGGAATTAGATTTAAGATGCAAATCAACCATTATGTTAATAAGTGCGTAGTTTATTATTAACAGTTTAAAGAGGTGAATTGTTGTTGATTGAGTCTGTATGATATATGATAGATGTAACATGAATATCAACATTTAAAAATACACAGGCAATAGAAGAATATGATTAAAGAATTAATCTTTCATGTTAGCATTTGGCTTTCTCCCTTTGTCATCTCTGTAAAATGTGATCATAATATCTTGACTATTGCTAAGAATCAAGTTTTAAAACACGTAATCCGGAGAAATGATTCAATTTTTAAGTTTGTAGAGGCATTTACAGTCAACTATTCTATAGTGTTTAAGTTACTGAAGAAGCATTTTGGAAAAGAGAACGTCATCCTGGTTTCCTGCACCTGTGAATTATAGGTGAACGATTATCCTAAGCAAATGGATACTCTTTCAATTTAATCACCTGTAAGCCTTCTTTTCTTGGTCTGAAAGTCTGCTGCTGCCAGGATAATTTTGAATCACTTTGTATATGAGTTTGCTCTTCAAGTTCTCAGTCATTAAATTGAGCCAAAAGCCAAATCTTAGAACCTTGGATGGTTTCTGTTGTTACATTTTTCACCTTTCTCTGTCTTTCTGAACCAAAACAGAGTTCTCAGTCACTTTTACCAAACGTGACATTGACCATCTCATTAAGCGTAAAAAATATTATCGGTAGCTTAATCAGTGTTTGCTGAAACTCCCATGTCCTAACGGCTAATCCAAAACCTCATGATTCAATGGCAAATCTTACCTGGTTATAACCTGACTACCATTCTAAAGGGGGCCGGAAACATGTAAATCTGATTTTATGTTTTCTGTCGAGCGGTGTTGCATACGATCAGCTTCTAGTGCCAGGAGCTTTAGCAAAAACTATTGATTAGCTTTCGGATAATGCTACGGGTAGTAAAATGTTGAATTTTGCTGCAGGGAAAATGTGTCTTGTCAAATAATAATCAACAGCCAATTCATGTGTGTATTTGAGGAGAGAATTCACATTTAGCAGGTCATAAACCAACATAGACATTAATATTGACTCGAATATTCTTACTAGTTTTGGACACATCGCACACATTCTTAGAAATACCTTGGCTTTGGATATTTACTCACATTAATATTGTTATATGCCTTCCTTCAATTAAAAGCTACTCTAAAGACAACTAATGTTCATGCTGTCCAGTTTCCCACCTGTGAAGGAAAATGGCCAAGGTTTAAAACCATGCTGAATGTACTATCAAGTCAAGCAGTATCCACTGAAGAATGTTAAGACATTATCTCAGAGGCCACAGCTTCAGTGGGAGGTCACTGGGAGACGACCCTCCTTGGAGCTGCATTCAGGCAATGAACGGGCCTGGGACTGCAGGCGTGTCACTCTGCTCTGGATTCCAGTCAGCACAAAGTGAAGAGTCTGTACTAGATTATCTCCAAAGTCATTTCCAGTTCCAGGAAAACAAATAATTTTCCAAACTCATAAATTCTAATTTTCAAGCTATTAGACCCCTCCTCACTTTTTCTCTTAAATTATTTGGTGCATTTTAGGAGTTCCAATGTAGCGATTAGTCATTAAAGTGATTACCGACTTCAGCCCTGGTTGACTTGATTTTGACAACTTATTTCTTTGTGACCTTTTCTTCCTAACTTAAGCAAAGCATAACCAGATTTCATGTGTTACATAAGGGAATGAATATGTGAGTAAACTAAACAAAAAATATCTGGTACTCATAACCAAGACCTCCTCTCAGAAAGGCCATGTTGTGCCTTAAAGCTGTGTTTTGATAATCCAGAAATGTGGAGAGCGATGGGTAGGAGTGGAATATTCAGATAGCTACATAATTAATTCACACACCACAACCAAGCTGGAATCTTTATTTTTCAAAAGCTTTTGAATAAAGGTCTGAATTACTACCATTTTACCTCTAGAGAACAGAACACTCTCTTAATATTATAAGCTATTTCATTAAATAGCACTTAATACCTACAATAAACTATATTGCAAATGGCTAAGCAAAGAATATAGATTTAGGGCAGCTTATGACCTTGTCATTATCTGGTACAAAGGAAGAAGGCAATTTCTTTGTGTATAATTGCATTTAAATTTTATGCCATAACAGTTGAAATGAGAATTGTTAGTCATTTAAAGAGGCACTTTAAAGATTAATTTAATGACACATACTTGAGCTATTTAAGGAGGCCTAAAAAATAATAAAAGGGAGTTTTATTTGGAAAAATCCCTCATTTCTTTGCAGCCCATATCAGAATCTATTACTGCAGCTTTGTGCTGGATGAATAGATTTGTGTGGGTGGAAGAGAGGAGAGAAGGGGGCTGGCATTTACCCAGAGGCCTTTCCATTTTCTAAAATTGAAAATCTTCTCAGTCACCAGAAATTAAGTTTAATTTAAATCATTTGGTATCATATATCTAAAAACAATAACTAAACTGAAAAGGGAAAAAAAGACAAAATGAGAGTAAGAAAAAGTGGCAAAGAGCTGAGAATCTCTTCTAAAACAAATAAACAAAACACTAAACTGAAATCATGAAGCTCTTAAGGCAGTGTGTTAGTAATTTAGGTTGTTACGCATGCACCGGCCAAGCTCCAAATTGTAAGGTGCATTTGGACTGCACCCTCCGTCAGGGTTATGGAACTTTCCCCTTTGTTCTGCAGCTGACTTTCTGAGATACCTGGAACAAACTTCAAGGAAATGTAAAAGGGAGACAATTGGTGGGGTTGGTAATTTGAGGAGTAAAGAGGAAGGATGGGAGGCAGTGGAAGGTTGGGGGCAGGGAAAATCTGCATTGTACAGAGACCTGAAAGGAGAGAGAAAAATGGAGAGGTGTGGCATAATTGGGAAAAAGGAAAAGTGATTCAGATGCTTTTGGGTTCTTGACATCTGCACACTCCAGAAGACTTAGAAAAAAAGCAACAGTGGGAGCCTATGAGTTAAACTATTTCTTTCTAGAGAGAATTTACTAAACTTGGAAATTAGGAAATTAGGCTTACTTGGAATCACCATTATTATTTCGTTGGCAATGTGAGACCCTACTTAACTTGTTTATGGTCTATAAATACTATTTTCAACGTCACAGGTTTTGACTACTTCCATTTAGTTAAAACTACCTTTATTAGGACATTGTAAAGTATACGGGAATTGAAATGAAATCATCTGTCATTTCAGTGGGAGTTTTAGTCTGCTTGTGTGTTACTAAATATCTAACTTCAATATCTGAGTTTAACACTCTGAATTAAGTATCATGCTTTATTTTAAAGCAATGTAATAATATAACATTCGTACTCTACTGGCTTTGAATTAGTAAAATATAAATGGTCTGGGCTCAAGCTTACTTTGCAGAGCATATTCTTTCTTATGAATATTACCAATCAATGGGGCAAAAAATTTGCTAAGGAAAAATTTTATATCCTCAGAGAATTTTCTTCAAAGACATCAAAACACTTCAAAAGTGCGCACTCCACTAAGAACAATCATTATACTAATTAGAGATCATTTAAATAGATTCTTCACATAGGTTTGTAAGGGTCTTACTGGGTCCTGTTAGTCTAGTCGAGTTGGTGTATATGACAATAAGGAATGCTTTTGCTGCCTTTTAAATAGGTCACTGTGGCAAATGCTGTAATTTGCTTACTCAATATCTATTTTCCTGTTCTTATTGTTAGCAAAACATGAATTTTGTTTGATGAAGCAATTTCTCTAGGTATATATTCTCTTTCCTAACTTTCTTTGCTGCCAGGCTTGGCCATGTGCATGGTTCTAATGGTTTTAAAGGGTAAAATCTAACTAACGAGATTGAAATGAATGTCTACAAGAGCTTCTGGGAAAGCTTTATCTTTCTTATGAAAGGGTGAAGCAGCTGGTACTACTATTTATGTTTCTATTTTCTTTTCTCTTCTTTTCTTTTGCAGTGTTGATATGATGTCTGGAGCTGGAGCATGAGCTGGAGCATATAACCATGAGATGACAAGCAAAAAGATAAAAGTCAACACTGTTAAAATGGTGGAGAAGAATGGAAAGAGCCTTGGTCCCTGATGGCCTCTCGGAATAGCTAAACCAATGCTGGAAAATGCCTACCTTTGAACTTATTGTTATTTAACAAAAGTAAATTGTATTTGCTTGTCATTTTGTCACTTATAATCAAATCCACTCTTAAGTACAACTTAAATATTAAGAAGTATGTTTTTGTGTGTATGAATGTATATGCCTTTTAGTTTTTCCTCTTCCATTTATTATGAATGATGAGGTTTGCTTCAATATATAAATGTAGATTTCTTCTCATGCCCAGCTACCATTGGAAGTTTTCAGGGAGAAAAATGGAGAAAGAAAAGGTGAAAACAAAAACGACAGAAAAGAAGAGGTTGTGGGAAAGAAGTGTAGGAAGCGTTATCTTGAAAGAAAAACTAGAAGTAAATTTTAAAAAGAGACAAATTTAAAGTACAATAGTAAACTTGAAAATGTAATATAAATATAATGTATATGCCTAATTATCTGCATTAGTCTCTGTGTGTATTAATTTATTCAAAAATATTTTTAAATGACTATGATAACATTGATTTGCAAAGATGTGCATTTCTGGAAGAATGTGATGAAGCTCAGAGGAATGAAGGCACATCTGATGATGTGTGTGCATGTTTCCACAAGATGTGTCTGCCCACTCTATGGAGGCTCTCTTTTGAGAATTCTCAGCCATATCATAGTTTTCTCCAACTTGTCAAAGTGAACTGTGTATGTAAAAGAAAAGTGCTCCTTGGGGTGAGCAGGGTGATACATGAGGCCTCAAAAACTCAGGTGATACCAGCCTGAAAGATGGCGCTGTGTGGGACATGCTTTGCAGACTCTCAGAGCAATGTCTTCCTTCCATGATGCCAGGATGGGACAGGCCTGGTGACCAGTGTGCACCAAACTTTTAAAAGAGAAAAGAACTGAATTGTACATTTGTTGGTGAAAATTAATGTTATTCTTACAGCATTTATAATTTGAAAATAAAGGGGGAGATAAATTGTATTTGAAAAGGCCCTACATAGTCAATCTTGTCACTTCCTTCAGAAAAAAATATGTATTCCTCTAATTCCTTCCCTCCCATATATCCTCACCTCGTCACCTCTAGGAGAAGTGTACTCCGAAAATTCTTTTAATGGATGTATACATAATATACATTTATTGCCAAAAACACAGAAATTTATTTTTTAAAATTTACCTATCCTCAGAGGTATACACTGGGTACATTTTTGTGTATTTCCTTTCAATCATGTGTCTGCATGTCTATTTATCTCTCTTTTCTTATCCTCACAAAATTGTATCCTACTGTATATACTGATTTGTATCAGGCTTATTTCTTATAATTTTGTATCATGATTGTGTGCTTGGAGAAGTGTATTTCCATAGGTTCAGGGGCATTTTCTGGGAAACAAAGTAACGAAGAGTCTTTCACACTCCAGTAACTAAATGAAAGGGGGAGGCAGGTAGAAAGAGGGATGCATGTTAAATATAGAAACCACAAATAATTGAATGATGCTGGTAATAAACAAGTCATTAGTCTCGACTAGGGCTTGCAAACTGATGGCTTGTCAGCCACATCTGGCCTACAGATGTTTTTGGTTTAGTTTATAAAGTGTTGGTTTTTTCAAAAATTGAGTTGGTGGCCAAATTTATAAATTGATAGATTTCATGTATGAAACCTAATGTTACATTTTTGAAAAGCCAGAAGAATTGACAAATCAAGGGCCATATTCCTACATGGCACACATTGGCTGGAAGCAATAGTGAATACTAAGTGAAATGGAGTGTGTGTTCTCTTGTCTACGCATTATGTTATGGTCAACCTGGCTTCTACAGGCCTTTGCAAAACTAGGGGCAAGTCTAGATGCAGTTTCTTCGAAATTGTTTATTAATTATCATTACTGTTTTCATGAGAGCATAACCTCTTCTTGCGTCCAACTAGACAGCAGATCGGGGATGAGTTCTTCTTCTGTGTGGCCATCACGTCTTACTGACTTACATTAGAGGTTCTCAGTAAATACTTGGAAATGGCCATACTCTTTGATGGACAAGAAATTTTAGTCTAAAATATTTTAGCACAGGATATGATAAATTGAAAGTATATTTTAAAATATCATATTCTCAAATGAGCAACATAATAGCAGTAACAAGTTACAGCTTCCATCAATTTTCTTTATGTATTTATTGAACTAATGAGAGGTCTCATTGAAAATGATTTTCATTTAAACAAAAACTCTAGTTTTATAGTCAACTTGCCAAAAGAACAGGTCTTCTTTTCATGCTAGGCGCATATGGGTGGTGGGGGTAAAGAGTATGGCAGGAGGGCTATTAAAAATTGTAATTTGTAAGCAATATAGCAGGGTTGACCTTTGTATCAAATGTTACATCTAGTCCTTCTGAGATGAAGATCATATTCCCAAGTAAATAAAGGTATTCATCAGAATGAACTATAGAGTTTCTGTACTGCTTTATAACATCCAAACAAAGGAGGAATACAAGATATAAGACCAAAGAATGCCCTATGGAGCCTTAGAAATTAAAAACAATCTCATAGGAGTAATGGTTTTTAAAATTCACATATGGATAATGATTTGGAATAGTTGAAAACTTCCTCATGTCTTATGGCCCTCTTGACTCCTTCTAAAGTTTCATGCCCTCACTGTGGAAGAAGAGCGAACTGAGGGAGAAAGGGATTTTCTTTATATTCAAATCATTCATTTTAAATGCACACAATATGTTTCCCATTTCCCGTTTTGTGAAATCTACTTCTTTTTTCAGCTGCCATATTCTTGTAGGCAGAAACATAAAGGGATCTCTTTGGGACCACTGACCTTGACTTATTGGTTATCTAGGTCTCTACTGAGCACCATTTGTTTTTTACTCTTACCAGATGCAGATATCAGAATTTAATGGGAAAAGAAAAACAAGGATTGAGAGGACAAGAGACAAGAGAGGATACGAGAGCAGTATATAGGTGGTAGAGTTAGGCTGGGGGTTGTGTCTTCTTAAGACAATATGGGACTCAGAAATGACCTTTTGCTTCATTAATATGTTGTCAAGAAGGGCTTGGATCTAAAGACCAGACCTTCAGCAATTTGATTTCTCCAAAGCACTTTGCCATATTTAATGGCTTTCAACGAGTCAATAACCTTAGCAGTTCTGTAGTCCTCAAGCGTACGGTATTGTGATGAGGCAAAACACACACTATTCAGCATACCAGTCAGGTATTGTTGACAAAATGCACAGAAATATTTATTAAAATTATAATGGAGTACTTATTCACCTCAAATTATCTATGTATAGGTATATATCTTAGAAGAAAATGCCATCATAAGCAAGATTTCAAGAAATATGCCTTGTGGGCACAGATTGATGCCTTTCTATATGCAGTCTGTATTTTGAGATTAATTTCTGTCCACAAAGTTTACTTCCAAAGCTATATTATGATGGCATTAAATCACCCTCAACTTTCGGTGTTTAGAAGCCTTCAGCTTCTTACAATCATGTCTTCACCAGCATATGCACAACTCTAAGCAACTTCAGTACTTCTTCCAGCAGAAGAATAACTTGAAATGATGTCAAAATTGGTCTCTCAGTCCACACTATTGCAACCAGCTGGCTTCAATCCTTGGCTATCTGGGCAACAAACTGGTTAATCAATTTATCAGAAAGAAAAGCCTTTAACGTCTTCATCGGGAAGATATGTCTACCCTCCTGCCTTGTGGTAAGCTTTCAAAGTTTAAAAATCATTGTTTTTAAAAAATCAGGACATAATTATCTGGGTCCCGCATATTGTGCACCACAAATGTATACCAAGCTTTTGTCAAATCACCAGATAAGACCACAAATGGAGTTCTCCACTCCAGCCTCAGTGATGGTTAGGAGATGCAAATTGGAGCAGAGGTGAGAGAAAGGTAGCAGAAAGCAGAGAGAGAGAGAGAACAACAGAAAGGTGAACTGGGAGGGAATTGGGAATCAAGGCCACCACTAGTGTTCATGGTCCCTCAGGTAAATGTTTTTGTAGTCACCCACCTATATATGCAAATTGATTACAAAAATTGATGATCCCATGTGAAGAATAGTGATTGTCAATGATTTAAAATAATGGAGTTGGGAAGTGGTACTTATTTGTTTATTGTCCAGTCAGTACATGTGAAGATTCATTATTGGGTCCAGCACCATCCCTTTATGTTCAGGCCTAGGAACCATTTTTTATGCTCCTTGTTTTCAAATGCATCACTCTTGACCAGTTTTATTTCTCCCACCATGAGAGAAGGATAGCAATGCTGTTTTACTCAGTGTCTTGGCTCTTTGGATCCTGTTTGTATTGAAGCAATACCCTCACACCACTTATTTGCAGAGTACATCATCACTTACAGTGCTGCATCATCCATCATGGTGCCTGTAAATAGTAGCCTCCATTGCCTGTCTCAGAAGTTGTACTGTGCTTTTTGATGATGACCACAAGTGTAGATCTTACCCAGAGTGTGCACGGAACTGGGAATTGTCATTTGTTTTCTGAAGGTCATGTTATATTTTTCATTTGGAATTTAATAGTGTAATCATGGATCAACATATCTTCCAATCATGTCTTCTCTTGAAGTCTTTAGTCCATAATCACTGAATTTCTAGACTGTAATCTCTTTCATTGTTGACTCCATCCCTGCTTCCCACATATAACCACAAGCAAAGGGGATAGGCAGAGGATCCTCGGTTGGAGGGATAAGAATGATTCCTTTTGTACAAGAAATGTCTGTCCCTTGTCAGCCATGTGTTAAGACCAATCCAGGAGAGCATGGCATCACTACATCCATCAGCAACAAATGAGACCATCAATGGTCCATTAACGTTAAGGAGAAAATAATCTCAAAGTCCTCAGAGGACATGGGGTGGCAACTCCTGGAGGACTACCTGATATGTAGTGTGGAGCCTCACAGGGGTTGAGGTGACTGCTCCAAATGACAGTGGTAGGAGGAACACAGGACAAAGGATGTGTTGTCACCCTTGCTGCCCACGGGTGCTGTAGACTGGAGGCTGCACTACAGTCAGAACAGAGATCTTCGTAAGTCATCACATGGACCCACTTGTGGCTCAAGGCCAAGGACTGGCAATGAACATGGGGAGTCTTAAACCTTAAACTCTTCCTGTGCCAATGTTAGTGACAGTCACTCAAATTCTATCTGTCACACTATTCTGGCTGTCCAATTTCATACAACCACGCAAAAGAAAAACACACCCCAACATTCTGGTCAGTACGAGTGATCCGCTTGCTACGTTGCACTCTTGGAACTAAGGTCTGGGTGGGGCTTGAGGACAGCTCTATCAGCAGAGTCCTAGAGATCCCCATCACATCTGGTCTACCCTACCCACTGGTTAGAGGATTGCAAAGTGCTCTCGAGAAGAATTCAGGCTCAGGTGCCCCAACAGAAAGCACTAAAATACGAAGCACAAGTGGGAGGCTTGGAAAATTTCAAGGATGGAACTCCAAAGCACAGGACTTCCTTAGTCCCAAGCTAGGGCAGGGGCCTGGCTTGCCTGGGTTAAGGATACTACTCTTGGGAATAAAGCTCTAATGTAGAGGGGCTGGTAAACTGACATAGACCTTTGTCAAAGTTAATTCCTTTAAGCTGTGCGTAAGTTTTTCTTTTGGTTAAATTCATGACAATAATAGTATGTATTTGAGTGAGGACAGGCTAATCAAATGTTTCAAGTTCCACAGGACAGACTCGTTTTGCTCCTTTCCACATCATCCCAAGTGACCACAGCTGCAGCTACCCATGGAGATTTTATCACCAGTATTGAAGTATGATGGGGGGCAAAAGTTCCCCCAGAAACCGACACGTCCTTAACCTCAAGGAGTAGTACTAAAAACCTAGTTGGATTTGATGGCAAAACTGTGAATTTAGGAGACTATTTCTGCCAGTAAGAACCTCACATTTAGGCTTCCCTTTCAGAATCTCTCTTATGTTTAACTTATTTTCCTTCAATCCCTCATTTGCCTTCGTTCCTCTTCCCATTATCTTAGTGCTATGCATTAGCTCCAAGTTGTAGAAAGAATAGCTAAGGAGAAACTGCAAATATATTTACCTTCCGAATCCTCAGTAAAGGGCAATTGGCAGTGGTGCACAAGAATGTCTAGGGACTCGTTAACCATGCAGATACTTAAGCTGTGACCCAGAATTTTTGATTGAGCAGGTCTGAAATAGGTGCCAAAAGTCTTCAGTTTTAACAACACTCTTCAGTGATTCTGATGAGAAATCACTATTGCATAACTATTAGAAGGCTGCTGAAATTGATACAGACATACAAACTGTGACCTCCTGAAGATGATACCCAATAGCTTGGCGTAGCCCCTTAGTAATTCTTATTAGGGAATAATCAGACTAGATAATAAGAGAATAGACTGGCCAGGGAGAGAGTTATTCTTAGTCATTGTGGAACCTTTGTGTCTTAAATGACACACCTTAGAGAGCAGATATTCTTACTGGTCTGGGTTGAGTATACATGGGTCTGGTGGATATCTTAAATTGGTTTGTGTAACTAAGAAAGGGACATAAGGGATGGAATTAAGTAGCATCTACTGTACTATTTCCCAAATTGTGGTCCGTAGACCAACTTTGATTTAAAAACCTTTGTTCAGGGCCAGCCCTGGTGGCCTAGTGGTTAAGTTTGACGCTCTCTGCTTTGGCAGCTCAGGTTTGGTTCCCAGAAGCGGACCTACACCACTCATCTATCAGTGGCCACGCTGTGGCAGCAGCTCACATACAAAATCGAGGAAGATCAGCAACAGATGTCAGCTCAGGGCAAATCTTCCCTGGCAAAAAAATAATAATAAAATAAATAAATAAACCTTGGTTGGTGATAGGAGCAGCCAGGCAGGGAAAGGGAGCAGTTTAAAAATGTAGATTCCAGGGGCTGGCCCCATGGCCTAGAGATTAAGTTCACTGTGTTCCACTTTGGTGGCCTGGGTTCAGTTCCTGGGTGCAGACCTACACCCCTTGTCAGCAGCCATGCTGTGGCAGAGACCCACATACAAAATAGAGGAAGACTGGCACAGCTGTTAGCTCAAGATAAATCTTCCTCAAGCAAAAAGAGGAAGATTGGCAACGGATGTTAGCTCAGGGAGAATCTTCCTCAGCAAAAGAAAAAAAAAAGATTCCAGGGTCCCAGCTAGACTTTTTAATGAGAATCCCCTTCAGTATGGCCTTGCAGTTTGCATTTCTGAGAAGCTCTCTAGGTAGTTCTCATGCATTTGAGAACCCCTGATCCACAGTGGAAATGGAACGCAAGATCTTAGAAACAAGTTTAAAGTAAAGAGAAATAATAAATGTCTAAGCATTAGTCTTGTGATTGTGTTGACAATAAACAATTGAAAATATATATTATCTGTCATTTGAAGTGTACCATCTTCATTTCTTTGTGGTCTGTACTTTT